TTCTTCTTTTTAGTGTTTGAAACACATCTCTAGTGAAATCATTCAGTTCTTGATAGTTCTTTCTTGGAAGTTCTTAAGTAACAAATTCAATTTTCTCAATATTTATAGGGTTACTTAAAGTAATTATTTCCTATTAGATGAGTTGGGACCAAGTGTTTCATTTCAGGCAAGTCATCACACTTTGTGCCTGAGGTGCTGACAGCATTCCCTTGTCCTTGTGAGGTCTGCACGGTGTAAGTGATGGTCCCTGTTTTCTTTCTCACATTGGTAATATATGTGCTGTCTCTTTTTTTTTTTTCTCTTTATCAGTCTTGCTAATAATTTGTCAATTGTATTGACTTCTTCAATGAACTAGTCCTTTGTTTTCATTAACTTTTTTTCTGGTTTTTTGTTTTTTGGGTTTCTTTTTGTTTTTGTGATGCAGTCTCACTAAGCTGGCATTGAACTCAATGTCATTGATGTTTGCTCTTTATCTCCCTCTTTCTGATTGCTTTGGATTTATTTTGCTCTTCTTTTTCTATATTATTGAGGTTGGAATTTAGACTTTTTCTGTCCTAGTAGTATTTCATTCTTAAGGATGATACAACAAATTGTTAAAAATTCACTGGCTTAAAATAAGAATGCTTTGTACGGTTCTGGAGAGCAGAAAGCGAAATCAACAGTCCTAGATGAAGTGAGAGTGTCAGCAGGTTTGCAACCCATTTGCTTGCCTTTTCCAGCCCCTAGTGGCTGTCTGCACGGCTCAGTTTAGAGTCCCTTCCTCCACTGCAAGGCAGCAGTGTGTACCACCTTCTCTCTGTGCTTAGATGTGCTTCCATCCTTTTCTTTCTCTGATTCTGATTCTCTTGTCTCCCTCTTATAGGGATTCTTAAGGTTATATGGATCCACCAAGGTAATCCAAGATAATTTGTCTATCAGAAGAATCTTAAATAACTCTACCAAATCCTTTTTAAAATCCATATTAGGTGACATATTCCCAGCTATGAGGGACTCAAGGATGGCCACTTCAGGGGGCTATAATTCAGCCTACCATACAAATGAATACATAGAGTGTTTAAGTTTCTCTTACATGACTGCACATCATAGTTATTTTTCTTGTTGCTTGGACATAAAACCCAACACGCACAAGTTGAAGGAGGAAAGGTTTATTTTATCTCACTGTGTAGAGAGGTTTCAGTTCATAGCTGGCTGGCTCCAAGCCAGGGAGGCAGGGCAGAAGGGCATGGCAGACAAGAAGCAGGTTGTGACAGGAATAGGCAGGAAGCAAGGAGCTTTCTTTCTTTCTCTTTTCATTCTATCTGGGATAGAAGCCTGTTGGTTGGTGCTAACTGCTCCCAGATTGGGTCTTCTCTGTTTAGTATGTCCTTTAGCCACCAGAACCATGCTAAACCAACCCAAGGGCTAATCCAGTCTCACAGACTATGATCTGGCACCTCCCCGAAGCCCCACCTATGAGCACATGAGGTTTGGAGGGCCATCTAGATATAAGCCAAAATAGCTCATCTCATCACTTTTATTACCTATCTCTCACAAATCTGGATATATTCTTATGTTCTCTTGCTTGAAATAATTAAAAATTTTTCCTTCAGGCTTGCTCTTTAATCTATGGATTTTTTTTTCAATTTTATTTATTTATTTATATTTCAATTAAAAAAAGAACAATAGCAAAATACCAACAATGTAGACAAAAACAAAACAAAGCAAAAACAATGAACATGATGCAGGGTTTCAGAACAAAATGATAGGAATTGACAGTGGTTGTTATATTGCATATTGTTATCTTCAACGAAGTTGCTCAGATTACCAGATGTAAGAATGCAAGATTGATCAAACCATTAAAGAGAATAAAAAATAAAAACAAAAGAAACATTAGAAATGATAGAGTTTCACTAGACAAGATGGTAGGAATTCACCAATGGTTGTTATATTGCATATTGTTGTCTTCAAATTAGTTGTTCAGATTTCCAGATATAAGCATGCAAATGTGTAGTTAAAGCAAATTTATTTAAGGAAATGAAGATGCATCTGTAACAGCGGTGGTGAACCTATGGGACACGTATTACTGTATTTTTCTTTAAGACAAAAGATGTTAATGTATAATTTTTTTTAAACTAAAACCAGCATTCAGGTTTAATTGCAGTGTTGCCACTTTGCTATAAATAAGTGGGTTCTGGGTTGTAGTTTTTTTTTTTTGAATAAAAGGAGGAAAACATTAACAGACAGACAAGATTTTACAACATAGCAAAAGAACAGTACAGACAATACGGAGTTACAAAGTGGTAGGGAATTAACAATGGTTGTTGTACTACATATTGATATCTTCAAAGTGGCTTCTCAGGAGAAGCCACTTTGAAGGTATCTATGGATTATTTAGAAGTATGTCTTTAGTTTCTAAGTGTCTGGAGAGTTTTCTGGTATCTTCTGTTTGGATTTCTAGTTTGATTCCATGTTTGTCATAAAATTCAGTGCATAATTTCAAGTCTTTAAAGTTTGTGGTAGCTTGTTTTATGGCCCAGGTGATGATATATGCTTGTATATGGTTCGTGCTTTGGAAAATAATAGATATTCTACAGTTGTGGAGTGGTGTGTTCTATAATTGTCAATTAGATCTTGTCCACTGATGGTGTTGAATTCCTCTCTCTGCTTGCAGATATTTTGTATACTGGTCTAAATAAGTATTGATAGAAAAATGTTGAAATTTCTGACTATATTTTTGAATTGATCCTTTCAGTCCTTTCACTTTCTTCCTCACGCTTTGCAGTTCATCTGTTTGATTCGGACTCATTTAGGATAGCTATATCTTCCTTGTACACTGTAGTCTGGGCCCTAGTTCTGAATATCATTATCCAGAAGGCTCAAGATCCCTAAAGTCTAACATCGCAAAAGGTTAAAATTCTGTTGATAGAATCCTAGAAGAAATGAGTTCCCTAAAAGTCAGTGTTCACATATTTCTAAAATAATTTATTTGAGAAATATAAAAACTTACAGAACATGTCAATGGCCATTTTACATTGTATAATGGTAAAGGATAACAGTTCGACATGCACAAACACGCAGGTATACTACTGACCATTACATGAGTATAACAATTATGAACAGATAAATAGTATTCTTGAAGAAATAAATCAACAACCAGAATATATAAATGCAGATTTTGATTTGCAATAATGTGCACACAACTTATCACTGTAGTTTTCTGAAAAATCTAAAGAACAACGGACATCTTTTGATAACATCCATCAAAAACCACAGTCAGTCATCACTGCATGTAAAATTGACTAAAAATCAGGGTCAGGAAGACTGAGGCAATAGAATTGCAAGTTTGAGCTCAGTCAGAGGAAGTTAGCAAAATCCTGACTCAAAATAAAAATTTTAAGAAGGTCTGGAGATGAAGCTCACTGGTAAAGCATCTGCCTAGTATGAGTCCAGGCTCTGTGTTTAATACCCAGTATTGGGGAAGTCAAAAGTCAACCAAAGAGCCATAATCTCCACAGATGGTATCCTTTCAAAATAGGGGTATACAAAAGGACATTTGTTCATTATATAGAGAAAATGTTGAGATTTTTATGTATACACAATGCTTACAAGCAAAGTCAATGCTGTGATAATGTGTGTTTGTGGAGCTATATTTACAAAAATACATTTCAAAGTATTTTCTTGTAATGAATAGATGCTTTTCCTCTTTTAGCTTAAGGGAGTTGTGGAAGACCAAAAAACTGCACTCTCTGGAGAAATGAAGTCCCTTGCCTCCATCTTTCCCTGACCTTTACTTCAGCCCTATTCACCGAGATATGCAGAGCTGGCTATATTGAATCAGGTGTTCCCTTAAAAGGCTAAAAGAATGTGATCACTTCCAACCAAGCCATCAACTTGCCTCATTAAAGCACGCTGACAGAAAATGCCCCCCCCCCCCGCTAATGGCTGCAATGAGGGTTCAAGCAAGAGCCTGTGAGATTCCAGGGCTACGATACGTGATAACATCTCAGCTGAGGCCATGAGACTCCGTACGAATTATATCATCTTGGCAGTAAAGGTGCCAGCCTTGCACACATCAAACTATCTATTGCATTGCTAATTAGATAGCCTTTGTGCCTGGTACAAAATTGCTCTGATTTTTCTTAGAGCCTGTGCCTGCCAAGTTTCTTTGCCCTAGCACTCTGTCCTGACGCCCTCCCACCTCCCTGATTGATACCAATAAAAGCCGTGAGTTTTTTAACTCATGGCCTTTTGTTCCACAGAGAACATTGGTCATCCCAGAGCTCCTCAACTGCAAAATATCCTCTCTGTCTTTCTTTTGCATCCATGTGCCACAGTGCTGGGTGGGGAACTCGAGCACTCCATGGAGGTTTTCCATTAAAGGCATCCTCCGAAAATACATTTCATTCATTTCTATATGTTGCTGCTCTTTTCAAAATTCTGTGTTCTGTATAAATCAACATAAGCATTTCCTTTCAGATTTCCCGAACTTCGGTGCCTCACTTCTACATTGTTTGGAGCCTGTGGAAATCTGTTCCTCAGGCATTCGAACATATAAGAACCACAAAGTGGCATGCGTAAGGAGGGTGACTGATTGGCAACACACTGTCTTCCCATATGGTCTGTGTAATTATCTTCCAACTAGTCAGTGACTTCACTGGCAAACGCAACTTTATAACTCATTATGAGCACTGACACTTTCATCAGCTGGAAGGAATGGCAAGGGACTTATTATTTACTTGGCATTTTTGCAGTTCTCTTATTGCAGGTCAGTTGCTTCCCTGAAATTCAGCTCTCTAGCCATCTTCTATTCCTGAGAAAAATGTAGCCACAAACTATGTAGAGAGGCTGACTAATAGCCCTTTCTTTTCCAGCATCATGTCAAGTTGCTGATCTTGGAAAGTTTTCACAGGCATGTTTTGCAGAATTAAAGAATGTCATTGTAAAATCATGAAATATCTTTCTTTTTGTCTTTTTGAGACAGGGTCTCGCTATGTAGCTCAAGCTGGGCTTGAGCTCACTTTGCAGGCCAGGCTGGTCTCAAACTCGCAATGATCCTCCTGCCGCAGCCTCCTGAATGCTGGGATTACAGGCGTGCATCCCCACACCGGGCCACGGAAGAAAAGACACTTTCATAGAGAAAACCATTTTCTATGGTTCGGGAGAGCTCTGCGCTCTATGTCGTTTTTCATCTCAGCTGAGGCCATGAGACTCCATACGAATTATATCTTCCTGGCAGTAAAGGTGCCAGGAAGATCAGAACATGATCTATAATGACTTTTATCTCAGAGCTCTATGTCGTTATTCTGAACATGATCTATAACGACTATTCTGAACATGATCTATAATGACTTTTATCTCAGAGGCAAACTCGTTACGCAATGGAAGGCAATAAAGAGCCTCCAGGAATTTTGTCACAATTTCAGTGGTTATACAATAGTAGGATTTAGGGTAAGGTACTTTGAAATCATCATAGAACAATGTTGCTTTGCCTTCAGGACTCAAGAAGAAGCTCTTCAGCCTGATAAACATTTTATCACCGTAACCACCATCTATTACCAGCTTCTCTTTTAAAGTGCGGGCAGTTTGTTTGCAGTAGCCTTGTAACTTCTTCACGGTCTCGTGTTTGGTAGTGCTGTCTTCTGTAGCCTCTTTTATCCTGAAGAAGGTGTACAAGACTGGTGGGCTGCTCATGGGAATTAGAAGTACTTCACAGATGACATCTTCCTCCCTTTGCAAGCCCAGATCCAAAGACCAGCTCTTAGAGAAGATCAGGATACCTTTTCTGAAAGGCGCCATTTCGTTACGTACTGACTGTTCAAGTCCTTCATGTTGCAAGAACAGTTCACGATAGATGGGTTTTGGAGTATATATCACATTTCTCAATAGCACTAGATGTAGAAATAATGCCAACAAATTACAAAAAGGAAACACTGAGGAGGTCCCATGTAGACCATAACAAAATAGCTTATATACTGTCAGTGCACTCACTGGGAAAAAGGAACTGTCAAGGCTGTACAACATATGCCAAGCAATCATTTAAAGAACTGGACAGCAGCGAATACCACCAGTACTTAAAAAGGGAAAACCTACGTTAGGGAGGAAGCACAGGAAGTAACCCCACATTCGCTTCTGATTTTGCTCCCAGTATATTTTACATGGCATGGCATTGGCCAGTAGAGCCAACAAGTGTATGAAAAGATGCAGGACAAAATTAATAACCAAAGCTGCGCATACCACAGAGAGATACTTTGTTGTACCCATATGACTGCTTAGAAAGTCAAAGAGGAGGAAGAGAAGCAGAAAGATGAATAAAGCTTGATACCTGCAGGAAATAGGACATTTTTAATATATTGCAGATGGGAGTGAAATGGCCTGTGTAAATTATGGGAAAATGTCAGTATAAAGGCACCTGAATATTCACATACCTCCTCCATTAGTAATTTTATTCCTACGTGTGCTCTCAAGAGAAACTCTTGCACATATGAACCAGAAGGCTAAATAAGAATATTAAATATAACATTGTTCATATAACAGTGCTATGGTTTGTATCTACATGTCCCCCCAAAGCCTCTTAGACTCATAAATACGGCTTTTTAGAGGTAGCTGGATCTAGAGCGTGTGATACTTGCATTAAGAGTGTATTATAAGTAAATTAGTGGACTGATTGGTTTAGCATAGTTCTTGGTGTGGATAATGGAGCAGCTACCCGGGGTGTGGATGACACCATCCAAAAGGCTTGAAGCCTGGATGGGATAAGAGGGAAATAGAGCCTTTCTTGCAGCTGCTTCTGCCTGCCTTGCTGTAGACTGTTTCTCCTCTGCCATGTGCCTGTCGCAGGATGTCCTCCTGGGAGCCATCTGACTATGAACTGAAACCTCTACAAACTGTGAGCTGAAACAAATCTTCCCTCTTGTAACTTTGGATGATGGGTATTTTTTCTCAGCAGTGAAAAAACTACGACACACAGAAAGTGAGAACTAACTCAGCTTTCCATCGTCACCAACAACAAAAACAGACAACTGGGAGATGTTCAGGACTGGTGGCATTTCCTCAATAACTGAATACAGGCATAGCTGAAGCTAGCTCTCAATCTCCTACCTCAGGGCATGTGTAGTCTGCCTTATTTTTGGTTACACTCATCTGATTTTTGTTTCTTTTACTTTCAAGTTATGTGTCTGCTGTTACACTAGAAATTTTAATCAAATTCCACAGAATTAGGATGGGAATTTGACAGATTCAATAACTAGAAACACCAAAGTTTTCCCACAAACACAAAAGTGGGGTCTGGTAACACATGGCAGGATAGAGCTGACTTGAAGCAAGGAGGCTTCAACGTGGTCACAACAACCTAAAGAAGCCAGAATTAAACAACCTGGAGGCTGACTTCTCCGCAGTAGACTTCTCCACTTCTTAAAAATGGCCACACTCCAGGCCATAATTCGTGGTAACTCAGTTGCTCGACTGGTCAGTTTTCCCAAAGGCCTGGAAAAATCTTAGAAAATAAAGATCATACATTTAATGTGGCACATGGAAGATGTCAGCTAACTAGTACATAGCTATTAAAAGTCTACCTAGAGCTGGCCCTGTTTTCCCAAAGAAATTTGGTTTGATATTGTAATTAGATTCCTAGTTCAGATAGAAATTGTAGAATTAACTTTGGTTGTTACCAGCACTCTAAATTTGCAATGAAATAAGCATAAAAATATTGATTCTAATCTGTGAATAAATAATAATATATAAGCAAACCAGTTATTACTAAAACCAGTTAAAATTGCGAGACATAATTGCTGAACTCTATGCAGAGTTGAGAAAGAAGCTTGTATTTTCAGAGATTTCATAAATTGCTACTGCTAGTCTCACTTCATGCGAAGATTATTGCTTCCAAAACCAGATAAAATACCAGCATTATTCTTTTCTTATGAATCAAATGGAGGGCTATATTTGTCTCACAAAAGTCAGAAGAAGAGGGAGAATTTTAAAGGGAAAGGGTAAATGAGAAGGAAGTAAGGAAAGATGAGGAACAAAGAAAAGATGCTGGTGTTTCTGAAATAGGCAATTGCTGAAATTGAGTTCAAGGAGAAAGAAGAAGGAAGAGGAGAAGGAGGAGGAGGCGTAGTAGAGGAGCAGGAATGGACAGGAAAAAGGCTTGAACTGTCTTTACCAAAATATGAATGGAAAGGTGGTAGGGAAGAAATATCTACGGTTAAGAGGAACTTTGTACTAGGGAGGAAGCTTTTGTTTCCACCTCCAAAGACCCATGTGCTCTCCCAGAGCTCCATGGAGCAAAGGCTGGCTCTTTAGGATGGTTCTCCTGGGTGGTGATGGAGCCTTCAAGAGATGGATCCTAGTGAGAGGTGTTCAGGGGAGAGGATGACAGGCCCCTGGCCCCTCCCTCTCACTATCACTCACTCCGCTGCCACGAGGTGAACAGTTTTGTTCCAGCATGTGCTCCCCCATTCTCCGTTGCCTCGCCGCAAGCCTAAAGCAATGGAGCCAATCGATCATGGATGAGGACCTCCAAAACTGTGAGCCAAAATAAAACTTAACTTGTATCAGCTAATTGTCTCAGGTATTAGAGTGAGAGAGAGCTGATTAACAGGATATTGGCAGTGAGAAGTTGGGTCACTGCTTAGGGCCATATCTGTTTTCATGGTGTGGAAGCCTTTTTTTTTTTCTTTTGACTTTTTGAGGCAGTGTTTTGCTATGCAGTTCAGGCTGACTTTGAACTAACTTTGTAGCCCAGGCTGGCTTGAACTTACAGTGATTCTGCTGCCTGAGCCTCTGGAATACTGGGATTATAGGTATATGCCACCATGGTGGGCTCAGAAGACTTTAGGATTGATTTATGCAATACAGTTTGAAGAAGTGGCCTAGAAAATGCCTGGAATGCCATCTGTGAATCTTAAAAGGAAGTTCTGCTGGATACTCAGAGGACTACAATGCTGGTAGGAAGATGGACAACAAAGGCTATGACAATGTGGTTTCAGATGGAAACTGGACAAGGGTTCATTCTCACTACATTGTGACCAAGAATTTGAATGCATTTGGTCCATGGCTTGGACTTGGTTGGGAGGATGAACTTAGAGGTGAGATCTCGACTGGTTCATACGGTGGAGGAGATTTCAAGGGAGTAGAGCTCTCAGGTAGTGGCATGGGTGTTACCTGCTACTTTTAACCACATTTACAAGGACAATTAGGACCAAAAAGCAATAGACCAGAAAGATTTGAAAAACTTGCACTTTGGCCAAAAAAGTAGCATATGTAAAGTTTTAGGCAAGGAGTACAGGTTGACAAAGAGATTACTACCCATAAAAGAAGCCCAGTGCTTCACACAGGGATGATAGGAAAGATGTTTGGAGGACATCTCAGAAATTCACAAAATGAAATTTGATTCAAACAATTTATATTGAGAAAAGGGCCCTGTGTCACTCTGCCCACTTGCGACAACTGAAGGAACTGCTTCCCTTGGAGTTTATTTTCCTGAATTCAGCTGGCAGCGCACTCACAATCAGCTGCAGCTGTGGTTCCAGAGGACTCGGCACAGGCTGCCCAGGCGGCATATCTTGGCATCATCCCCATAGAAACCAGCAGGCATGAAGAGTTACAGGATCATGCGTGCTTCCAGCAAGATTTCAAGGGAAATCCTGGGAGGCCACACAGTGTGAAGCATTGTTGAGTCCCACAGGTAGCACAAGAGAGCAATGCATAGAGCCACGAGAGTGAAATCAAAGCTGTGGTGGAGATGCCAGGTAGGAACAGGGGCCAGCAATGAAGACGTCTGCCTAGGTAAACTGCAGGCACATGCAAAGCGAGCATAAGAGTGCTCATGTGTACTGCAACCAGCAAAGCCAGAAGGACAGTATGCTTCTGATACTGGACATAGACTTTAAGATCTAATGTTTGCCCTGTTGAGTTTTGGTTTTGCTTTGGTCTTGCAACTCTTTGCTATTTTCCTATTCTTTCCTTAGAAGTGGGAATATTTACATTATGTGTACCCCATCATTATATCACGTAAATATGAATTTTCATTTTTTTTTCCTAGAGACACTTGCCAACTGAGTTTGCATTGAGTCTGAGAGGAGATTTTACACTTAGAGTTGGAGCAAAGTCAAGACCATGAAGACCTTAGGACTCTTGGGAATGGACTAAATGCATCTTGCTTTATGCAATGGAGAACAATTTTGGGGACATCTGGGTAGAATGCGCTAGTTTGGATGTGAAATGTCATCCAAAGGTTTACCTGGTGCAGGACTGCTCTCTGAGATGGCACTATTGGGAGTTGTTTGCACTTTTAGGAGGAGGGATCTAGTGGGATGTCTTAGAAAAAGTACAGCATTTCTAACCAGAGGATAACAGACAATTCTGCTGGGGGCTCAGAACTCCACTGCAGAAGATTAGGGGGCTACAGCTTCTTCCTTTTCCTTCCTATCCCCTTAAAATGGATCATGGGAACCTGGCACCTTTTCTTTCCTCTTCTGTTCCCTCCCTCCTTGTAGGTGAGTAGGTTTGCTCTGCTCCATGCTTCTTGTCATTATAGGTTGTCACTAACATAACATGGCTTAGTGGTTATGGACTGGAAGCTCCAAAGCTGTGAGTCAAAATAAACTTTTTCTCTATTTAAACTGATTATCTCAAATATTTGTCATTGTGACAGAAAGCTCATGAAAACACAGGGTTACTGAGAGTAGATAATGGCTTGCTGCATAGTGTATCTTCTAATAGGGTAGGAGAAAGCAGCAGGTAGCAAACCACTGATGATAGCGAACCAGAGAAAGGAACTTAACTGGTATAAATTGAGGATTATTGGTCGTGGTCCGAGTACCAAAGAGAAAACTGTCCCCCGACCCTAGAAGCCTTATTGTAAACCCCCCTTCTTTAAGTGGATTCACCATTCATCATGAACTCGATCCATTCCGTAGAAGTCATCTGCACCACGCAGTTCTCTTTCACATGCCAGCTATTGGGTCCTTCAGCAAACACAGCACAGCAGAATCTCTCTACTCGGATCGCGCAGACATATCCAGAAAGTCCTTTCTCATTGTGGACTTCAAGGAATTTGCACGTGTAATTTATCTCCTTCTTCTCCTTACAGAAGTGATAGACAGGCAGCTTCCTAATGGACTTTTCTATTTTTGTTTCTAACTTGACGAGATCACACTTGTCTGCTTCAAGCCCTGTTATTTTTTGTGTCTTTTCATTTAAGCCGATGAACAAATATCCACCATCAGTATTTGCAAATGCAGAGACATACTTAGGAAGCATCTCTTTAATGCGTTGTGACAACTTATCTGTCAAGAACAATTTAAATTCAACATGAGTGGATTCAGTAAAGCAGAACTGTTCATTTTTTGTAAGTATTTTACTATTAAAGAATTCAGCAGCCAAGTCTTCATTGTGACTTTCGTCAATACAAGCCCTGTCTGCAGGCAGTGTCGGTGTTGAATATGATCTTCCTTCAGTTCTCTTCAGTTCTTTGAGGAACTCTATCGCTGTAGCCTCATTCATTTCATCTACTCGCGTTACATTCCTTCTGTACAAATTGGTGCTCAAGGTGCCGTACTTCCGATCAGTTATACTCGACTTCACAAAAATCTGAAAGATGAGTCCTCTCTGCATGAAGTCCAGGTATTTTCTAACATTTGGCACAATATTACAAAAACCCGCTTCCAAATCTTGTCCTATTCCATCTCGTTTATAAACGAAGTCTTCATTTTCAGTTTCTCCCCTGACTACTCCCCCTCCATGCTTCAGCAGTGCAGATATAGCTCTTAGGATCCTTTGTTGCTGGCATTTCCTCAGCTGGCAATCCTTCATGCTGTTCCTAGCCTTCTCTCCAAGGGTGACACTTTTTCCATCTACAACCAGCTCAGCATAGTCAGATTCCACATCAGGAAGTACACACATTTCCGCAGCAGCCATCTCAATCTTCAAGCTGAAATTTCTGCCTGTAAAATAGACAGAGCCCATTAGAATAGAATCTGTGCAGCAGAGAGCAAATTCTTTATTATTAGGGTAATGCAAGAAAACCTCTTGCTGTACGCATTCCAGAGAACTGGTGAGTATATGGGTGGGAAGTAATGTTTGTGGAGACCAATTTGAAGTGAGACTGTAATAATTTATACTCCTATTGATTTTTCCCATTTGTTGCCATAGTTTTATTGATCTAATTCTTTCAATTTCATTTTTATCTGTGATTTTATCTTCTCTCTAATCTCTAATATTGTATGTCTGTATTCTGGCTCCTTCCTTAAATATGCTGCTGAAAGGAATCTGTCTACGTTTTTGGTCTCCTCAATGAATCAAAATGTAGGTGTACAATCATTTCTGCTTTTTTAAAATTTTAATGATTTTAGCTTTTACCTCCATTAATTATTCCTTTTAAGGGGAGTCCTCGGGGAAAGTTTCTTTTTTTTTTTTTTCCCTCCGGTACCAGGAACCGAATTCACGACCTTGCGCTTGCCAGGCAGGCGCTTTGCCGCTAAGCTAAATCCCCAGCCCCTTCTCGGGGAAAATTTCTAGTTGGGCATCTGGGATAATCAGCCATATTCTGTATTTATTATGCTTTCATTCTTATATGAATTAAACACCCATAGTGTGGCTGCCCGGGCTGGACTGAACCCCGGATATCTTCAGGAAGCCC